GGCTGAGGCTGAGGCAGGCTGATGCTGAGGCCGGCTGAGGCTGAGGCTGAGGCTGATGCAGGCTGAGGCTGAGGCAGGCTGAGGCTGAGGCCGAGGCTGAAGGCAGACTGAGGCTGAGGCTGAAGCAGGCTGAGGCTGAGGCTGAGGCTGAGGCAGGCTGAGGCTGAGGCTGAGGCAGACTGATGCTGAGGCAGGCTGAGGCTGAGGCTGAGGCTGAGGCTGATGCAGGCTGAGGCTGAGGCAGGCTGAGGCGGAGGCCGAGGCAGAAGGCAGGCTGAGGCTGAGGCTGAAGCAGGCTGAGGCTGAGGCTGAGGCAGGCTGAGGCTGAGGCTGAGGCAGGCTGATGCTGATGCAGGCTGAGGCTGAGGCTGAGGCTGATGCAGGCTGAGGCTGAGGCAAGCTGAGGCTGAGGCCGAGGCTGAAGGCAGATTGAGGCTGAGGCTGAAGCAGGCTGAGGCTGAGGCAGAGGCAGGCTGAGGCTGAGGCTGAGGCAGGCTGATGCTGAGTCTGGCTGATGCTGAGGCAGGCTGAGGCTGAGGCTGAGGCTGATGCAGGCTGAGGCTGAGGCAGGCTGAGGCGGAGGCCGAGGCTGAAGGCAGACTGAGGCTGAGGCTGAAGCAGGCTGAGGCTGAGGCTGAGGCAGGCTGAGGCTGAGGCTGAGGCAGGCTGAAGCTGAGGCAGGCTGAGGCTGAGGCTGAGGCTGATGCAGGCTGAGGCTGAGGCAGGCTGAGGCTGAGGCCGAGGCTGAATGCAGACTGAGGCTGAGGCTGAAGCAGACTGAGGCTGAGGCTGAGGCAGGCTGAGGCTGAGGCTGAAGCAGGCTGATGCTGAGGCAGGCTGAGGCTGAGGCTGAGGCTGATGCAGGCTGAGGCTGAGGCATGCTGAGGCTGAGGCCGAGGCTGAAGGCAGACCGAGGCTGAGGCTGAAGCAGACTGAGGCTGAGGCTGAGGCAGGCTGAGGCTGAGGCTGAGGCAGGCTGATGCTGAGGCAGGCTGAGGCTGAGGCTGAGGCTGATGCAGGCTGAGGCTGAGGCAGGCTGAGGCTGAGGCCGAGGCTGAAGGCAGACTGAGGCTGAGGCTGAAGCAGGCTGAGGCTGAGGCTGAGGCAGGCTTAGGCTGAGGCTGAGGCAGGCTGATGCTGAGGCAGGCTGAGGCTGAGGCTGAGGCTGATGCAGGCTGAGGCTGAGGCAGCCTGAGGCTGACGCCGAGGCTGAAGGCTGACTGAGGCTGAGGCTGAAGCAGGCTGAGGCTGAGGCTGAGGCAGGCTGAGGCTGAGGCTGAGGCAGGCTGATGCTGAGGCAGGCTGAGGCTGAGGCTGAGGCTGATGCAGGCTGAGGCTGAGGCAGGCTGAGGCTGATGCTGAGGCAGGCTGAGGCTGAGGCAGGCGAGGCTGAGGCTTGAGACAGGCTGAGGCGAGGCTGTGACTGCGAACTGTGCCGTTGCCACTGCGACTGTCATCGCGAATGCGACTACGACTGCGAGAACAGCAGAATTCTACAACTGGATTCTCATCCGAATCTTAAGGGGAATGCTTCCAGATGTGCTCCTACACATCGATGTTAGGTTTCTTTGCCGGGATAATTTCCTCCTTAGGGGCCTCTTTTCGGCCATCTTAGGTATTCATGGCCATCTCAAGGTGCTCTTGGGCCGTCTTGTGCCTTCCGCGGTCGTCTTGGGGGCCTCTCTGGGCTGTCTTGGGGCTCCCTTGGGGCCTTCTTGGGGCCTTCTTGGGGCCAGTTTGGGCCGTCTTGGAGCTTTTTCCGTCTTCTGGCCGTCTTGGGTGATCTTGGGGCCGTCTTGAGGTCTCCTTCGGGCCTGCCTAGGCCGTCTTGGGCTGGTATTGGGGCCTTTGGTGCCGTCTTGGACGCCAGACGACCGAGAAGACGAGAATCAGAGAAGCCTTCCAACACATTGAAATCGATGATTTGTGTCTCTTGAGGCCCTCTTGGTTTCTTTTTGAAACTTCTTGGGCCGTCTTGGAAGCCTTCAGGGTCGTCTCGAGGCCATCCTGGGGGGTCGTCCAGAATTTTCCTACCATATTGCAGTGTTGGTTCTTCGTTTTGAAGAGACACCGCCCCGCGTCATTCCTTCCGGCCCCCTCCCTCATCCTCCCTCTTCGCGTATCTGCCCCTGCTCTCCGCGTGTCTCCGTCGTCATCGTCCATCGTCATCGTCGCCATCACCATCATCATCAGCATCATCAGCATTCTCGCCGTCTCCATCATCAAGACCACCACCATCCTCATCAACATCATCAAAACACCCCCTTGTTCCCCCGCGTCTCTGCTTCGCCACATCCCCCGCAAGTCTCGTGGCCTTGTGAGGTGCTCCACCGAAGGCCCCATCGGCAGGGTCCTTAGTGCGCCGCCCAGCCCATGTCGGCACGCCCCTCAGACGCTTCGTGTCCCCATGAGGAGCTAATCGGAGGTCCCGGCGGCAAGGTCCACATGCCGTCGCCCAGGCCACATTGATGACACCCTCAAACATTTCGTGCCCCTATAGGCAGCTCCACCAAAAAAAGGTCCCAGCGGCAGGTTTCCCAGGCCGCCGCCCAGCATATTTCGGCATACGTTTCACACGCTTCGTGGCCCCACGGGGACCTACACCGACGGCCCCACAGGCAGGGCCCACAGGCCGCCGCCCAGCCCATTCCGTCATACGCTCACAAGTTTCGTGGCCCCATTGGGGGGCACCCCCGATGGCCCAAGCGACAGGGTCCACATGCCGTCGCCCAGCCCATGTCGTCCACGAGTGGCGCCCAGCACGGCTCCAAGAGCGCCCCAAGAGGCGCCGAGTAAGTTGCACCCTCATGCAAATAGTTTTTGTCACTTGTGGGGGTCCTCTTGGGGCCCTCTTGGAGCATTCTTGGGGCCTTCTGGGAGCGTTTTTGGGGCCTTCCCGGGGCCCCAGTGGGCCCCCCAAGAACGTTCCCCGAGGGCCCCAAGAGGGACCCCCCAAAGTGGTACAAAGAATTCGCGCGAACGTGCAATCTGTTGTAGGCCTTTCGGGGCCCTCTGGGAGCTCTCTTGGGGCCCCCATTGGTGGCGCCTTGACTTCACTAAACCGGACCCAGGACGAACTCGCTACGCTCCAGTCCCGCGGGAGATCCAAGACTCCCGCCGCCGCCCGGGGACGTTGCTGCATTGCGGTGCTTTGGTCACTGTTAATGGCTTCCGCGGGCTGCAGCGGCTCACTTCCATGACTACCCCGACTCACGAATCCAGTGGTTGGTCTGGCTCTATGGGTTGGTTTCGTTGTGTCGGTTGATTTTATGCTTGGTTGGCGGTCGGTGGATTTCGCGTTGTTCATGGTGTCGTGAAGTGATTTGTCGTTTGGTTGGTCAGTGCCGTTTTGTTGATTCGTGCCGTTTTGTTGGTTGGTGTCGTTTCGTTGGTTGGTGTCGTTTTGTTGCTTGGTGTCGTTTTGTTGCTTGGTGTCCTTTTGTTGGCCGGTGTCGATTTGTTGGTTTGTTGGTTGGTGTCGGTTTGTTGGTTGGTGTCGTTTTGTTGCTTGGCGTCGTCCTGGCGGCGTGGCCGATAATCGGCGGCCTGCAATGGCGCCAGGATTTGTTTCGGGCCAGCCTTGATCGCCCTCATCATTCTCATATTCGTCAGCGTCAGCACTCGTCGCCCCCATCCGCGCACACATGCGGCCCTGGTACGGCTCTCACGCGGCCCTGCGAAGGCCTTCACTGTGCTCCCCAAAGCTTTCTGAGGGGCCCCCCAGAGGCCCCAAGAGGGCACTGGAAATTGTCGCTTCCAACTCCGCCAGGCGGAGGTCAACAAGGGTCTCACTGGTGCACTTCCAGGAATCGTCGTTCGATCCTCTTGGGGCCCTCCTGGGGCCTTCTGGAGCCGTCTTGGAAGCTCCGAGCGGCTCCATGAAGGCGCCGGGCGATATCGCTTCCAATTCCGCCAGGTGGAGTTAGACCAGGGGCTCACTGAGGCCCCTTTTTGCGCCCTCCTCTGCCTTTGAAAAAGCCCCGATGGGGTTCTTCAGTGCCGTCTTAGGGCCCCTAAGAGGCCTCCAGTAGGGTATTGAAGTTATCGCTTCCAACTCCGCCACGCGGAGTTGAACCCAGGGCGGCTCTCTATGGCCCTTTCGGGGCCTTCTTAGAGCTTTTCTGAGGCCCTAAGTGGGCCCTGGGAGGTGTCATTTTCACGGGCGTTGAAAGTGACACCGCGGAGGGCCCTCTTGGGCCCTTCTTGGGGCCTCTCTTGGGTCCATCTGGGAGCCCTCTTGGTGCCGCCCTGGGGCCTTCTCGGGGCCTTCTTGGAGCCTTTCTGGTGCTCTTTAAGTGGGCCCTGGGAGGTGTCACTTTCACGGGCGCTGAAAGTAACACATCGAACTGCCCGCTTTCCCTCGTGGCGCTGCCCGTGGCCGGGGCATTGTGCAGCGCATCCCTCGTCGAACGTATTTTGTCGGACGCGTGGTCGAATTCCGCCAGTTCGGTCGAGATGGTGGTCAAGCGGTTCGGTTGCAATGTAGCCATGCGGATCTGAGCTTACCATTTCTTGCCCTTTTGGCGGGGATCGCAGGAGCGTTCGTGTTGTGATCAACTGTGCTCGATATATCCAGCGGCAGCGTTTCATCCCAATATATTATTTTGAAAAAAAGTCAGCAGGGGCCAAATTGCTGATGTGAAGCAACATAGGTCTCGTATATTGCACCGCGCCGCTTCTGTCGACCCTCGCTGGGGGTGCGGAGCCACAGACAGTAAGGCCCTCGTGGGGCCGCCGATGAGGGAAACGCTCGCCTCTTGCCGCCTCCTCCTCTTCTCCAGTACGATTGGCATGGGTACGAAAAAAGTGTGAGGACAACTGACAGCAGTTCTCCTCCGTTTTGAACAGCACTCGTTGTCGGCGTCGCCGCGGATACAACGCATCGCCTGCCCAACAGCGACCGCTGCCATTTTTGGACAACAACTGCTCTTAGGCATCGTATTAATGTTGCTGTACCCATTTTCGGTGTTCGATTTGTCCTTTCTCACTTCGGGCGTCCCAGGTTAGGTCGGACAACTACATGGCGTACAATCGGCCCTTTGCGCTGGCCGCCTGGTTCGAGAAGACGCGCCCGAAGGAGGCCGCGTTGGAAGGTGGATGCAGATGATTGGAAGATGCGGGGGGAGGGATTTTTGGATTGCGCAGCTGATGAAGCAGCAAGCCTGTCAGCATAGAGCGGTGGTGTAACTAGCTAAAAATTTTGTCAGCCTAAAAAGTTCTGCACGGGCATCACGTATGCAAGTACAGTGCAGTACGATGGGACCCCCGCGACAGAGCAGACGGAACGTGTCGGACCGAAGCAAGGAGTCTAGACCCTCCCATCCGTGCCCCACATCCAGCACCAGACCTTGGCCGGCATCGGCTCGAATCGCACGAGGAGCGACCGCCACGGTACGGCCAGGCACTGGACGTTCGGGAGGAGGGAGCGAGGGAGAGAGGGAGGGCATGATGATGAAGACGAGGAGAGGGAAAGGCTGGGACGCAGACCTGGGCCCTACTCCCTCTTCGCTCGCGCTCGCCGGCTCTCATCGAGTCGAGCAATGCTTGCGATAATTTTCGAGGTGTGAGGGAGGGAGGGAGGGAGGAGGGATTGATGAGGGAGGGAAATGGGATGGATGGAGGACAGAGGGAAGGAAGAAAGGGATGTAGGATAAGGGATGATGGATGATGATGATGATGATGATGATGATGATGATGATGATGATGATGATGATGACCATGATGATGATGATGATGATGATGATGACCATGATGATGATGATGATGCTGATGATGATGATGCTGATGATGCTGATGATGCTGATGATGCTGATGATGATGCTGATGATGATGATGTTGCTGCTGCTGATGATGCCGATGATGATGCCGATGCTGATACTGCTTATGGCGATGAACATGCTGCTGATGACGATGATAACGATGCAGATGACGATTACGATTACGATGACGATTTTGGTGATGATGAGGATGCTGCTGATGATGATGACGATGATGATGATTCTGATGATGATGATTATGGTTGTTGTGATGATGATGACGACGATGCCGATGGCGATGACGATGACGATGCTGATGATGATTATGATGGAGATAGTGATGGTAATGTTGGCGGTGGTGATGATGATGATGATGATGACGATGATGATGATACTGCTGATGCTAATGGTGATGAGGATGATGGTTATGACGATGCTGATGACGCTGATGCTGATGATGATGATGATGGTATTGCTGATGCGGATGAGGAGGAAAAGGGAGGAGTAGGAAGAGGAGGGGTATGATAATGTCGATGATGATGCTGATGCTGATGATGCTGATGATGATGACGATGAAACGATGACGGTGACGATGGCGATGGCGATGCCGATGATGATGACGGTGGTGATGACGATGATGATGCTGATGATGATGACGATGATGATGGCGCTGGTGCCGATGCTGCTGATGATGATGATGCTGGTGCTGATGATTATGATACTGCTGCTGATGATGATGATGATTATGATGGTGATGATGATGCTGATGCTGATGCTGACGATGCTGATGGCGCTGATGTCGATGCTGATGCCGATGCTGATGCTGGTGATGGTGACGCTGTTGATGACGATACTGCTGATGATGATGGTGATGGTGTAGGTGATGGTAAAGGTGATGATGTTGATGACGTTGATGATGGCACTGATTATAATGAGGATGGTGTCGATGGTGACGATGATGGTGATGGTGATGGTTTTGATAACGGTGATGGTGATGACGCTGATTATGGCGTTGATGATGCTGCTTCTGCTGATGATTATGATGATGATGCTGATCATGGCAATGCTGATGACGATGATGTTGACGATGACGATGGCGATGACGACCACGATTACGATGATGCTGACGATGGCGATGACGATGACGATGCTGATGATGATTATGATGGAGATAGTGATGGTGATGTTGGCGGTGGTGATGATGATGATGATGATGATGACGATGATGATGATACTGCTGATGCTAATGGTGATGAGGATGATGATTTCATGCTGGTGTTGATGATGATGAACAGGATGGTGACTGTGATGAGCAGGATGACTGTAATGATGATTGTGATATTAATGCTGATGCTGATGCTGCTGCTAGTTTGATGATGATGATGATGATGCTGGTGATGGTGCTGGTGATGGTGGTGGTGACGGACATGATGATGACGATGATGAAGATGATGATGACGATGACGATGAAGATGTTGATGACGTTGATGCTGCTGCTGATGATGCTGCTGATGATGATGACGTTGATGGCGGTGATGATGATGATGCTGATGATGATGTGGCTGATGGTGATGATGATGACGGCGGTGATGGTGGTGTTGATGGTGGTGGTGGTGGTGTTGATGGCGTTGATGGTCATGTGGAGGAGGAGGAGGAGGAGGAGGAGGAGGAGGAGGAAGAGGAGGGCGGACCAGGAATAGGAGCAGTCGGAGGTCAGTGCTGCCTGAGGATTGGCGTAGCAGATGCGAGGACATCCAGCGACCCCGTGAAATATCATGGGGCATGGTAGAAGGCAAGTTTCCCTATCGGCCACACTACGGATTCACCGGCATGCTGATGAATTTGCAACGTATTCTCTCGATACGTCGGTTTAGACGAGCATTGTGTAGTAGGCCATTGTGAGGTCGCATGGGACGTGTGCGAGCATTCTCGGACTTTCTGAAGTTTTCGCATCGCCAGTTCCGTGCCCGTGCCACATGACAGCCTAAGGTGCGTTGAGCAGGAATTGCATGATGCACGCCCCTTGCAGACGCATCCAGCGCCGCCTTTTCGCTAATCCTCGCGGACGTTGTTCTGTATCAGAACGTGCCAGGAGGGGAAAGAGGACGACACGCCCTCCTCTCCTCCGCCTCCCCGTGCCCCTCCCCTCTACTCTGCCCCCGCCGCTCAGCACTCTCCTCCCTTCCCCCTCCACGTTCCCCCCTCTCGCTCCGCTTCCCCTCCCCTCCCTTCTCCCTTCCCCTCCATGTTCCCTTCCCTTCCCTTCCTCGGCGAGCGAAGAACGGTATAAAAGAAACTTTTTCGCTGTCGGGGGCGCCTGTCCCTGGGCGGCTGGAAAGTTTATACCCCGACGGTGCCACCGTAAAAGTATGAACTTTCCAGCCGCCCAGGGACAGGCGCGCCCGACAGCGAACAAGTTTCTTTTATACCGTTCTTCGCCCGTTAACTTCCTCCTCCCCTCTCCCCTCCATCCCTTCCCTTCCCTTCAGACTCTCCGTCCGGGCCCGTCCTCTTCCCTTCTGGACTCCAGAACCCGCTGCTGCGCCCCTCCACGGCGGCAGAGTCGGAGCCACGCTCTGGCCCCCTGTTCAGTACGAGATGACGGAGGAGGAGGAGGAGGAGGAGGAGGAGGAGGAAGAGGAGGAGAAAGTGGAGGAGTAGGAGGAGGAGGAGGAGGAGGAGGAGGAGGAGGAGGAGGAGGAGGAGGAGGAGGAGGGAGGAGGAGGGAGGAGAGGAGGGAGGAGGCGGGGAGGGAAGAGGACGACGACGACGACAACGAGGGAGGGATGGAGGGGAGGGGAGGAGGGATGGAGGGGCGGGGAGGGAAGGCGTGGAGGTGAGGGGAAGAAGGGGAAGGAGAGTGAGTGGAGGGAGGGAGGATGCGAGGACGAGACATGACAATATATGGAGGCTGATGATTGGGACTTCGGGTATTTGATTCCTTTTGGGTTTCCAGTCCACTCCAGCAGCATGTTTCTCGCCGTATCCTGCTCGGTATGGCAGTGACGGGAAATACAAGTACGAGGATTCGGGGAGGTCCTCGCGCGCCCGCGCACTTTCAACGGCGAGACGTTCCTCACTCCTCCCTCGCTCGTTTCCCGTCCTAATCCTCCTCCTCAGCGTTGTGAGCAGGATGTCGGAACCTCCTCCTTTCTCCTCTGCCTCTTCCAGCCACACTGGGTGAGTCTGGACAGCAGCCGAATGGTGGTGCATCTATTCCCCCACGGATTGCGAACACTACTGCCTCAAACCCATCCTGCGTACAAACCCACCCTGGCAGCAAGGAATTTCGAGCCAGCACGTTGCATTGGCACTTGAGCTGAGGTCGTCTCGTTTGGCAGGCAGAGGCCGTGTACACACCCGCAGCGCTCTGTAGGAAGTCCGGTTTATTGATTGATCGAACCACCGATTTTGGCTCACAGTGTGACCAAGTTCGGCCTGTCATCAGCCATTTAGATTCCGCTGGAGTTGTTCTCAACAGACACTCTGTATTTTCTGGGGGTGGTGAGGAGGATGATGGTGATGAGGAGGAGTAAGGGGAGAGGAGGAAGAGGGCGATCAGGAAGAGGAGGAGGACGGGAGATGAAGACGGAGGTTGAGGAGGAGGAGGAGGAGGAGGAGGAGCAGGAAGAGCAGGATGAAGGATGATACATAAGAAGCAGGGATGAGGGAGCAGGGATGTAGGACGAGCGAGCAGAACGCAGGGCGCAGGAAGGAGGGAAGCAGTGAGGAGGGGGAGGGATGCGGGAGCAGTGTGCTGGACGGCGGGAGGTATGTATATACATATATATATATATATATGATGCAGGGCTACTTTCGGTCTGGCCGATCCGATCGAACATCGGTTGCGGCTGGTCGGTGCGCTTCTATCCCGACATCTTCACGATCCGATGCTGCCCGATGCTTCCACGGCGCTGCTGAGCATCTTGGCGCGGCCGATCCGGTTCGATCCCAACTCCGTGCCGGTGCGGCCCCATCCGACGCACGTTCCGATCTCTTCCGATCGATTCCCAACTCGATGCTGATTGATCTTGTGATGATGAGGAGGTGGAAGAGCCTCCTGCTGAAGCCGGCGGCTGCACTACAGTCGGGGCCCTGAAGAAGGAACCCTTTTCGTTGGGGAGGGGCTCCGCGTTCCTTAAGTGTTTCGCAGCTTGCCTCAGATTTTCCTTATGTTTTCGGTCGGATATCGAAGTTTAACTTATGGAAAAAGGTGCCTCGTTCCTTATTTGGGGTTCCTTAGGTCAAGGCCCCGACGGTACCACAGCCCGCACCCTCCGCGCTGCGTCTCCGCTGGCAGGGCCGAGGACTTCGTCTGCGGACGACCGATGAACACCCTGCCGCGCTGCCACCTCCCGAGGCGCAGAGGATCCCCGATCCAGGATTGGCACGGGGCACCGTTTCTTGGCCCCCAGAGGCGAACACGTGTGTTACGCCTCGCGAATCCCCACCAGCCCATTCAGAAGCCCTGCCCATGAGAGCTGTGGGGAAATGGAGGGAAGAGACGCACATGGTGGAACAGAGCTTGCAAAGAGAGGAGAGGAAGGAGGGTGTTGAGCCATCCTGGAGGCTGTCTTGGAGCATCGGAGGCCTTCTTGCAGCTCTGGGCTGTGCTGGGGGATATCGGGGTCCTCTTGGAGCTCTTGAGGGGCCCTTTGGGGGGTCTTGGGGTCCTCTTGGGGACTCGTTCGGGGTGACTTGGGGCTCGTGGGCCCCTCTTGGGGCTCTCTTGGGGCTCTCTTGGGGCCCTCTTGGGAGCTATGGAGTGCCTCCTGGGACCATCTTGGAGACCATCGATCATAGGAGGGGTGGTCCTCGATTTGCCTCCCTGCTCCGAGGCCGTCGAAATAACCTCATGGAGCGCTCTTGGGGCCCTCTTGGGGCGATCTTGGGCGCTCTTAGGGCAGTCTTGGGAGCCTCCCGAGCCCCTCTTGGAGCTCTCTTGGGCCATCTTGGGGCCATCTTGAGGCCTCAACAGCGTATCGGAAGCGAAACGGCGAGACTGCACAACTCAGTGTCTTTTTCTTGTTTTTTTCAAGAATTTTGGCTTCTCGGGAAGGTCCTGAAGGTTCGCCAGAAGCATCAGGAACCGTCTTGTGGCCCTCTTGGGGCCTCTTGGAGGCATGTTGTTAGCTATCTTGAGCCATGTTGGGCTATCTTGAGTGATCTTGGAGTCCATCTTGGGCTCTCTGAGTCCCTCTTGGGGCCATCTTGGGCCTTCTGGGACGCTCCAACCCCTCGCGAACTCCCCCGTCCAGGTCTAGGGGAGGGGGTAGAGGGAGGGGTCAAGCTGCCCACCCGCACGCAAGTCGTCTGGCTCATTCCCACCCGCCCTCCCAACACAGAAGTACCACCCGAGCCTGAGCATGTTCAGCGGTCTTTGGATGGGCAGCTACTGGGAACCCCAGCCGACCCCAGGTGCGCGACGCTGGGGCGAGGTGCGCCACGCGTGCCACACGCGCCAGGCATCCCTGGGGCCCGAGCGTGTCAGGCACGCCTGTTGCGCTAGATGCGCCACGTGCTCCGCGTGCGCCAGATGTGCCGCATACTCCAGCAGCGCCAGGTGCGCCGCGATCGGGGCACGTGCAGAGTGCGTCAGGTACGCCTGCGCACGTGACAGTACAGATCGGGAACCATGTAGTTCCCCCGCCATCCTTGGGCCTGCGCGCAGCAGGCCACGCGCCACCACCCCCGCCGTCACTGTTAAAAACTACTTGGTAGTGATCGCATGATGGCCGCGCATGATCCAGATTTAGCCGCGAGGTGCATGATGTATGTGCTTTTTTGTCAGGGATGGTAGCCTTGCGCACAGCAGGCTGTACGCTGACACCCCAGTCGTCACTGTCAAACACAATTCAAAGTGCTCGCGGGCCTCACGAACATGACTCAAGACTTTGCCCCAAAGTGTACTGTGCATTTTTTTGGCAAGGATGTTGGAGGGGGCGCATCAGGTTGGCCGCGCATGCCCCAAATGTGGAGGCAGAGTGCGGTTTGTATTTTTTTGACAGGGGTGGTGGGGGGCGGGCCCGCATGGAGTCGACATGGTTCCGGGTTGGCCGGCGGCCAGGTGGGCGTATACAAATGAGGAACAGTGATCAAGGCACCCCCTAGATGGCAAGCCATCTAGCTCTTTCCCACCCACCCTCCCAACACTCAAGTAACACCCGAGCCTCAGCATGTTCAGCGGTCGCCCTTGGATGGGCAGCTACTGGGAACCAAAATCGACAAAATGTGCGCGACGCTGGGGCGAGGTGCGCCACGCGTGCCAGGCGCGCTACGCGCGCCAGGCACCCCTGGGGCCCGAGCGTGCCAGGCACGCCTGGTGCGCCAGATGCGCCACGTGCTCCGCGTGCGCCAAATGTGCCGCATACTCCAGCCGCGCCAGGTGCGCCACATTCGGAGCACGTGCAGAGTGCGCCAGGTGCGCCTGCGCACGTGACAGCACACATCGGGAAACATGGCAGCCTCCACCATCCTTGTCGAACAGCAATGCCCATCATTGCGTCTGGTGGGCCTATGCACAGCAGGCCATACGCCACCACCCCCGCCGTCCCTGTCAAAAGCCACTTGGCAGTGATCGCGGGGTGGCCGCGCATGATCCAGATTTAGCCGCGAGATGCATATTGTAATGTTTTTTTTGGGGGGGGGGGGTCAGGGGTGCGCACAGCAGGCTGTATGCTGACACCCCCGCCGCCTCTGTCAAACACAATAGTGCCCGCGGGCCTCAGAAACATGACTCATTGCCCCAAAGTGTACTTTGTATGGTTGTTTTGACAGGGGTGGAGGGGGGGCCGCATCGGATTTGCCGCGCATGCTCCAAATGTGGAGGCAAAGTGCGGTTTATATTGTTTGTTGATAAGAATTGCGCCCGTATAGTTCCTGGTTTGCCGCGGGTTGCCTGGGGGGGGGTACACTAATAGGGAACAATGATGAGCCCTTCCCCGAAGTGGAAGAAGGGGTTGTGATGAGGACAGAAAGACATCGTTAGACCACCTGTCGCCCACAGGGCCGGTGGGACTACGCACCGCTACCACGTTGGAGCGGCGCGTGGCAGGGAGCCCAAAGACGGCACGGTGCACGGACGTCGTTCTCGTAAGAGCGGAGGCCTGTGTCATGTGGTGTGAAGGCCTTGCGGCCGGTGCCGCCGACCCTGAAGGGGCAGCCCGAGGCGTCTGGGAGGCAGGGAGTCGGAGGGAAAGCTTCTCCCAGCGAGGGGTGCTCCCCCCCTGGGGAGGGGGGATGTGCAACCCCCGGGACCTGGCCCTGCACCCCCTCCCCTGCCCTATCCGGGACCCCCGGAGGCCTATGTCATGTATGTGGACCCCGACATGATCTTTGTGCAGCCGCTGCTCTACCACCTGCCCAGCTCCGACGTGCGCGCCACGGCTCCCGGGGCGAAGGGGGGCAGCGAGGCCGCCAGCGTCGAGCCCCGCCGCCCCCTCGTCCTCTCTGCTCTCGTCCTGCTCCTCCGCGGCGCCATCGCCCTCGCTCACCACCGTCTCCATGCGTGGCTGGGAGAAGGCGCCCGCGAGAGTGCCAGAAGGCGGGCTCAGGAATGCGAGGAGGCGCGCGCGCGATGTTGCGAGGAGTCCCGCGGCAGCCCGCACGGGGCGCGCCCCTGCGCGCGCCGCTCCAGCTCCGGTTCCAGTTCCACCACCTGCCGCAGACTGCCCTCCCGTTCTGGGAGGGCGTTGCGGCCCGCCTCCCCGCCGGCTCGGGCGGGCAGGGGCGTGGAGGAGGAGGCCCCCCCAGGACGGGGCTGAGGCTTGGCCCTGCTGATTCGTCTGCTTTTTTGCTGTTGCCGAAAGTGGCTCTGACGCGTTCGGCGTCTTCATTCATTCGTGCTTGTTCTCATTATCCCCTCCACCTCCTCCTCCTTCTCCTCCTCCTTCTCCTAAGCCCTTCCTCCATATCGTCCTCCTAAGCCCTATCCTTCTCCTCTTCTCCTTTTCATTCTCCTCCTAAGCCCTCCTTGCTCAGGGCAGGAATTGTGGGGCTTCCTGACCCGTTGTTATGCGGGACAGCCCTCGTGCCTGCAGCCCCTCCCGCTTCCTCCCGCCCCGCCTTGTGTGTTTCCATCCTACAACCTCTGCAGCCACTTGCGCACCATACTCCCGCGGGTCTGGTCGACTCGGAGTATCGGACACCCCCACGGGGATGTTCACCTGGCCGCAGAGATCCTTTTGCTTCTGAGCCCCGGCTTGCTTTTCAGGGAGTCTGCCCTCCAGGGGTGGGGCTGCACCTGGTTGCCCGTAGACGATGCCGTACAAGTCAAATCCGCTTGCCAGGAGTACACCGGAGCAGTCGCACTCAGGAGTATTTGTAGTTTTTTCACCGCAGCCCAACCCAATCTCTCATGCAGACGACCGCGCTGAACATTCTCCTCCCTCTTCCCAGCTCCGGGTCATGCTTGGTCAGCTGAGTGTGACAGTTCAGGCGGTGACGTGCTTAAACCATGGAGGTTATACAACAGATGCTACCCCATGGGCCAATTGTTTCGACCTGGAAGGGCGTCTCTGCGCCTTCTGTGCAGTCGCCTTGCCCTTTCCGATGCCCAGCGGGCGCACGACGTCGTTGTCTCGTCTTCGTTTGTGCAGATGCTGTCTCGCTGCCCGGTGTACCCTGCAGCGCCGCCGCGCCGGCGACACGGCGATCCGCCAGCAGCTGCCCAACCACGCACGATGACCAACCTCGGATGGCAGGAGGTCCTCTGCACCAGTCCACGGCCAGAGCTGGAGCCGGCTGGGGGGCGGAGTTCCGGCCAGAATGGGGCGAGGAAGGGGCCCAGACGCGGCTCGAAAACCTGGCCAGCTTCGACCCCGGGAGAGGACCGGGCCAGGGACCGATGTTGAGCGGATTTGCTTTCATCGGTTTTGTTTTAGACCGATTCACGGGCCAGTGATTCATGGACCGATTCGCAGACTTTCTTGGCCCCTTTGGGCTTGATCAGCGCAAACCTGTAGGCCGCCTTCCAGGCTGCACCAGTCCACCGCCAGAGCATGTCCACATATCCACCGCTTCGGAGTCGTGCCCTGGGGCCTCGAAGGTTTCTGGGCACGGGCGTCTGCCTGGCCGCGCGGGCGTGCGGACGGCCGCATCCCAACGCAGGTGATCGTTTTCTCATTCATTGTCTTGCCGATCGGCGCGGGCCCTCGCACCTCCCTCCCCCCCCCATGGGGTAGATCTTGGCTGTTTTGGGCGCCTGATTCCAGCAGGTGGGCGGCTCCCCACAGGATTCCCCACAGGAGCACTGTTCCAGGCACTCGCACTCAGAAGTGGTCCGGAGCCAGACGCCCCCCCCCCTCCCCCCCCCCTCCTTCAACGTCGGCACGCCGAATGCGAAAGCGTCCTCCAGCGAGACGTGGCCCAGGCCGCGCAGCTCGCGGCGAAGTGCCGCGGGCAGGACGAAAATCGACCTGTCCTTCTCCTCTTCCTCCTTCCTCCCTCCCTCCCTCCTCCCTCCCTCCTCCTCCTCCTCCTCCTCCTCCTCCCTCCTCCCTCCCCTCCTCCTCCTCCTCCTCCTCCTCCTCCTCCTCCTCCTCCCTCCGTAGCCATTTTGGCTCAAGGTTTTGATTCCCTCGGGGTCAGAAACGGAGACCTCTGTCCGAGGACAGCTTTCAGCAAGTGCGGCCTGTTCGCCCAGGTCAGGACCGCCCGACACCCAGGTCGGGCCGCTTTGCGAGCTCCAGCAGGAGCCCCTCTCGAGCGAGACGGCGCCACCATGCCGAGGCGCCAGACGTACACGGTCTGCAGCGGCTGCAGCAACTGGGTGTACGACTGGAAGCTGCAGCGTTCGGGAGGCTGGTGCAACAATTGCAACGACTACCTCAGCGGGTGGAGCGAGCAGCCGCCGTCTGCGGGCCGCAGCCAGCGAGGGGCTGGCAAACCCCCGTGGGCAAAGCAGCCCGTCACGTCGCCCGCGGACGAGGTGCAACACATTATTAACAAGTTCCAGCTGGGGAAGGGCGCCTACGCCACAGCCAAGGCCACGGTCGACCTTGGCCCGCTGCAGGCGCTCCAGGCTCAGCTCACTGCCAAGGCGCCGACGCCCGCGGAGATCCCGAAGGCTAAGGCGCTCAGGCAGGCGATCAGCAACATGGACCAGAAGAAGGTGGCGCTGGCGAAGGCGACGAGCCAACTCGTGGAGGCGGAGCGCTGGCTCGGCGTCGCCAAGGAGAGGCACAACAAGGCGCTGGAGGAGGCAGCGGACGCGGAGGAGGAGCACGAGGCCATCCTACGGGCGTACTCCAGCGAGGCCATCCCCTCGCTGGACGAAGCAACGGCTATGGAGTGGAAGGCGCCCGAGGTGGACCCCACGCTCTTCGACAACCTGGACGACTACGAGCCTGAGGATAAGAACAAGCTACTCAAGTTCAGGTCGGATCTGTCGTCCCTCGCGCAGCTGCTGGAGAGCGCCCAGAAGCAGTACACGGAGTTCACGGAGCTTAAGAAGCAGGCGGACGCCATCCATGCTTCCCACAAGGCGAAGAAGCGGAAGGCGAACACAGGCGAAGAGGCACCAGCAGCTGCACCTCCACCAGCAGCCGATGGCGGCTCCAGTGCAACCGCTGGCTCTGCGGCGGCCAAGCAACCGTCAGAGGAAGAGGTGCAGCAGCGCAAGGACAGACTGGAGAGGCTCCGGAACGACGCGAAGGTCAAGGCGAACCCGAAGCAGGAGCCTGCTCAAGCTGAAGGCGCTGCTGCTGCTGGTGGCCATCGCCTTTAGCAAGGTGTTCTTCTCGAACATCACGCAATGGGGCCCCAAGGCCCACAAGTTCATCAACGAGCAGGGCAACGACATGGACATCATCATGATGTGCGAGACGCATCTGGCGCAGGATCAGATGAAGCAGGTGAAGGTGGACGTGGCTAAGGACGGCTGGAAGTCGGCGGGCACAGCGGCGGTGCCCACGAAGCGCTCGGCGGACGGGACCTCGGGCGGTGAGCTTATCCTGGTCAAGTCCCACATCGCCTGCTCCACCTACGACACCATCAGAGAGAGGCTGCAGAACGACGGGAAGAAGGACCCCTTCTACGGCTTCACGGCGGTGAATCTCCACACCAAGGCGGGCAACGTGGTCTTGGTCTCAGCATACTGGCTACCAGGAGCTGGTCTTCACGGACCCAATCGAGAGAGGGTCCGAGCGCTGGCAGGATTCGTGAAGGCGCTGGCGGACCCGTGGGTGGTCCTGGCGGACTGGAACGTCACCTTCGCGGACATCGCCAAGACGGGCTACGTGCAGCAGATCGGCGGAGCGCTGGTCAAGCCAGACGTGGAGGTCACCTGCGACAAGGGGAAGGGCAGTCTGATCGACTACGGCATCGCTAGGAAGGACTTCGCGCACAAGGTCAAGCTGGAGGCAGTCCGCACGGTGCCTTGGCGAACACATTGCGGACTGACTCTCACGCTGGAAGGTTCGGCGACGTCGTGGTGGCATCGCAAGATGCAGTTACCGAAGGAGCTGGCGACACCGTCGCGACCGAAGAAGAAGGCGGATCCGCACAGCAAAAGGACCCGCAAACGACAGGAAGAACGGCAGAGAGCAGAGGAGCGACTTGAGCCACACCTTCGGGAAGCATTTCAGGAGCAGGCCACGATCGAGGAAGCGGAGTCTGAGAAGAAGGTTAAGGACTTCTACATCACAGATGAGACTTGGACGGCGGCGGTGGCGACGGCGAGCTTGTCAGGTTCGAGCTCACCACCTTCGGCGCCCCAGATATTTCTCTTCGGGGGCAGCCAGGGCCGCGCCGCACCTCCAGCCTCCAGCGCGTGGCGCGTGGCCGCTCTTAGTGAGCGTTGAGCCGCCTGAGGTTGTCGGCCCTCCAAGCATGGAGGATAATGGGGTGCTGGCGTTCCCTGCTGCTTGGCCCGCCGCATCTCAGAGGGCTTCAAGCTGTATGGCCGCGGCCTCCCACGGGGAGAGCAGCGGTACCAGATCGAGTACGGCGACTACGTGCAAGGGCCCCGAGGCCATGGGAAGGCCGCCGAGGGAGGAGGACCATGACACGCCCGAGGCCATCTTCTTCGAGGGCCTCCAGTCGGCGGCTTCGCGGTGGATCCCGTGGTTGGAGGCACCTGACGCAGGAGAAGACAGCTGGATCCAGGAGTGCGTCCCAGCTACGGTGGCTCTCCTCCAGCGCCCAGAGCACGCCCACTGGGTCCCCGAGGCCCTCGAAGGCCAAACGATCCAGGAGTTGGCGGAGGACATGTGCAGGGAGGCCTGGGAGGAAGGCCGCCAGAATCGCTTGGGCATCATCGGCTACATGGAGTGGCTACGCCGTCAACAAGCTGAAGGACTTTTGGCACAAGAGGAAGCTCGACATTGGCGGGAGTACCAACGTATACGTGAAGAGTTTCGCAGACTACGAGGACGCCGAGGTGCAGCACGCAGAGGTGCGAGTTGGTGCCTGTCGCAGGAGCTCCAGTCTTGGGACGACAAGCTCATCATCCGCGACGCCAGGCATCGCGATGCAGAGGCAGCAGCGACGAGGATGTACGGCGACTGGGTCACCTGTCTGGAGGAGGCGGCGATCGTGACGGATGAGATCGACGAGGAGGAGGCCGAGTACTACCGAGGACGGGCTTCGGGCTTCGAGGTCAAGTGGGTCAAGGCGCGTTCGACACCAGGTCGCACCCACATGAAGTTCGGGCCAGCGGAGCAGTGGGGCATCCTCAACGCCATCCTCATTAGGTACCAGGCGCTGTACACCAACGGCACCGACGGCAGGCAGCAGGCAAAGTGCTTGGCGGAGGCAAAGGCGCAGGGCAAGGTGTTGCAGCAGATGGATCAGAACCAGGTCTTCGGCAGGAAGCTCGGCACCACACAGCAGCAGATGTTCTACGATATACTGGGCGACTTGTCGGACTTGGATGAGGGGCAGCTCGGCAACTTAGTCATGCAGGCAGAGGGCCACCTCGCCACTGCGCAGGCGCGAGGCTTTACGGCGCAGCAGAAGAACTTCACGGCGTGGGCAAAGAAGGCATGGGCAGGCAAAGTCGGCCTCCTCCATCGGCATGTGAAGGAGCAGCAGGCGCCGAGGTTCGAGCTGTGCACGGAGGAGATGGAGGGCATTGCGGACCCAGACGCCCTCCTTGGCATCAGGAAGCACGAGTGGGAGCGCATATGGACGGACCCAGTGGACACGAAGGAGGACATCGCGTACCAGCTGGGCAGGCTGCGCGATCAGTCCTGGGAGCACGCGCTGGAGCCCCTCACGCTGGAGCAGCTCGACGGGGCCATTTTTGTGTCGTCGTCGGCCAAAGCAAAAGGAGTTGATCATCTTGGTCCGCACGATCTGGCTCGGGCTCCCAGGCAGGCAAGAATATGGTTAGTTCACATCTTACAGTATTGCGAGCAGGAGGTCACATGGCCGAGGCAATGGGCAGCCACCAAGTGCGCGCTGGCGGCCAAGCCCAAAGGAGGAGATCGAGTACTAGGTATGCTGGCCCTTCCCATCAAGCTCTGGTCAAGGGCTCGGGGAGGTTGCTGCTCAGAATGGAGTGATGCGTTATCGGCCCATTGGGACGCAGCCCTCAAAGGCAGCTCAGCCCTCCGTGCGGGGCTCCTTAGGGCGTGCCTGGACGAAGTGGGGGCAGAGCTCGGGGCATCGGCGATGACGCTACTGTTGGACATCGAGAAGTTCTACGACACAGTCTCGCTCGTCATCCTGTCCCAGATCGCCCTCAGAGTGGGCTTCCCCGCAGTGGTGGTGGCGCTAGAGATCACCGCGTTCGTGGGCCCCAGGTACCTGCAGGAGCGCAACATTCTCAGCGAGGCGATCTGGTCCACGAGGTCCTTGGTAGCCGGCTCTGCCAGAGGCGTGGGATTGGCGAAGCTGTTCTTGCACCCGATATTAGATAGGGCGCATCGGAGGGCGCCGCAAGCTTCGCTGTGGACATTCGTGGATGACACGGTGGCGAGGCAAGAAGGTAGCAGGCAAACAGTCGGCGATGGCATCATCCAGGTCACGGAGATCATCACGGACGGCCTCAAGGAGCAGAGGATGAAGATCTCCAGCAAGTCGGTCCTGATAGGCACCCACCCGAAGGACGTGAAGCGGACGGCTAAGACCATGAGGAAGAGGCAGATCCCCGTCTACGCAGTCACGGAGGCAGTGGACCTAGGCCTGGATTCGTCGGCTGGGAGGAAAAGGGTTACGACGAAAGCGAAGCAGCGTGCCAAGCGCGCGAAGCACAGGTTCGCCAAGATTGTGAGGCTGCGACGTACCGCGGCCTTGGCCAAAGAAAGCAAAGGTTTATGGATTGCTGGAGCAGTACCACAGGCAGTGTACGGTCACCAAGCTTTCGGGTTCGCAGTTCATGAGCTTCAACGGCTACGACGACAAGCTGGACAGGTGGCAGGAGGTAAGGCGCGTGGGCGGTGCTTGACGACGACACTGGCGGTCGAGTTGTGGAAGGGCGACCCAGGGGTGGCAATACGAGTTGCCGTAGTCACGGAGTGGATCAACCTGTGGCAGCGCTACCCCGAGAACCACGCCAGGATCGTCAAGGCATGGCCGCGGATCTTCGACCGTCTGTCAAAGCTTGGGCCAAAACGCTGGAGAGGAGTTCGCGGACCAGTCGGAGCGGTGCAGGCGACCATCATGGACGTGGGCTGGTACGCACCAACGGCGACGGTGTGGATGCGACCAGTCGGAGCAGATGAAGATCCAGCAGAACAGTGGGACATCCCGTCCGTTATGGACGGCACTTTCGACAACACGGGGTGCTTCCAGCAGCTGATAGACGATTTCGAGGAGGACATCGTAGCTCAATACTGGAAGGCTGCAGCAGCACACCCACATGGTGAAGGTTTGGAAGATGGAGCAGATGTTTGGCAGATCCGCGCAGAGCAGCGAAGGTTCGAGAAGCAGGGGCAGCTGGACATGGTGGGGGCCAACATCGCCGTGGTCGCGGGAGGACAGTGGCCGAAGCAGCGATCCGTCGACCAAGGCTACCTCCTGGACTGCAAGAAGTGCGACAGATGCAAGGAGGAGGACGAGACCCTGATGCATCGGATCTGGCTATGCCCAAAGAACGTGGACCACGAGGACTTCACCAAGTCGGCGCCCCTGCTGCCGGCTGCGATGGCGCAAGCAGAAGCTGAGCCTGCGCTGTGGCTTCGAGGACTGCCGCCAGCCTCTCTCACGCACCCTAGGTTTAATGATGAACTGTTAGAGGGGAGGGAGGTTCGGTTTGGTGAGCTGGGGGACTGGGAGGAGTGTCAGCACGAAGGAGAGATCCACATTTTCGGTGACGGCTCAGGAGGCAAGCACTCCTCGGACCCTCGCCGACGCCGCTGTGGATCAGCGATTGTAGCATTGCAGGAGCGCGACGGGGAGTGGATTGTGGGTCGAGCCGTAGCAGTCCCACTCCTCGGTCGCAGGCAAACGGTCCCCCGCTCTGAAATTTTAGCGTTCGGATTGGCGCTCGAAGAGTGCCACGCAGATTTTACTTTCATTACCGACCACAGGTTGATCGCGAAAACCTGGAAGTACCGCCTGGAGCACCCGAAAGCCACGGGTCCCAACGAGGACCTTTGGACCCGAGCCAGAGTTGCCTGGCAGACACACCCAGACAGAGTAGTGAAGGTAGTGTGGACGGCGTCCCATCTGGATGAGACGCCAGAGCTGCTTGAATCGCCGCAGCAGCTGTTCATGGCAGCAGGGAATTTAGCAGCTGACGTCTGGGCGGGAGTCGGGGCGGAGCTGGCTTGGGAGTTCGGGCTGGTGGGGAGGGTTCCAGAGACTGATAGGATAGACTCGATCGCACATCTCGTGCGGAAACGAGCGCGCAGATCTTTGCTACTTGCCGCTGCGTCGGAGACGTCAGAGCGCGCAGGTAGAGCCCCAGTCAGTAAGAGACTTTCAAAGCAGGAGAGACTGATTCGAGATTCTCCCCATCAGCTAGAGCGAGCTGGAAGCAAATGGAGGTGCTCTCAGTGCGATGTGATTGTGACTGGAGCCAGGTTTTTGCGTTTTTCGGTTTCCCCGTGTGCTGGGCCCCCTGGTAAAAGCAGGTCGGAGGTCCCTGAGTTCCAGCCGATAAACGGAGTGGACCTCGAGATCCACGAATCCCACTCGATCACCAGGGTCGACCGTTGGTTCTTGCAGATCTGTTCGGTCTGCGGGATGTATGCGACTGTGGACTCGAGGTCCTTGCGTCAGAAGTGTAGAGGTCTCACACCGAACGGTGCCGAGAATATCCGACGAATTGAATTAGGCCTTTTTCCTCGGCGTGAGGGGCCCCCCAGAGCCATCAAGATGGCCATAGCTCGCAGAGATGAGAGTCGTGTCGTGTCGGCCCACGAGGCCAGGGGGTCGCAGGAGAACATCGAGCTTGCGGGGGGCCCCGCCGAGCCTCCCGTGGTGACCCGCGCCCGCAACGACGGGCACGAGCGGGAGCAGCTGCGTCGTGTAGCCAACGAGTTGCGCACGCAGGCTAAGGTTCAGAGATTGTTGGCAGCAGCGAGAGGTACGACTGTGCATGTGCGGGCGCCGCGGGAGGATTCAGAGTCTTCCGATTGACGGCAGATGCCCGTAAGCCAGGACGAAGACTGAAGGACAGAGGTCCGAGAGCAAAGAGGTCCAAAGAGCTCCTCCTCCTCCTCCTCCTCCCCCTCCTCCTCCACAGCTGCGCCGGCGCCGGTTCCTGCTGCGGGCAGCGTGCGCCGCG